GCATAAGCTGAAAAAGTCGGGATGAAGACCTTTTTTACTTATGATTTTTTTGTTGAACACATCAGGATTGAGAACCATGCAGAACATGGAGGTACTTTGAATGAGCACCAGCTTAACAGACTGGTAAGTTCTCTTTCTAGTTCGAACTACCATAACTAGTGCTCTTACAAGAAAGAAATCTCCCACCCACTAAAAATGAGTTAGATTTTTTCAGCATGTTGAAACATATTTGATCCTCGTATGTTCTCTCCATTTTATATTTGACAGCATGCAATTCTAAAGCCTTTTATGCTACGGCGAGTGAAAAAAGATGTAATTTCTGAGCTGACAAAGAAAACTGAGGTCACTGTGCACTGCCAGCTGAGTTCTCGTCAGCATGCGTTCTATCAAGCTATTAAAAACAAGATATCTTTGGCAGAGTTGTTTGACAGCAACCGTGGGCATCTTAATGACAAGAAAATTTTAAATTTAATGAACATTGTTATTCAATTAAGGAAGGTAGGTTACTGATTCTGTGGCTGTTCTAGTGCTCTAGATCTTTATCATATATATATGTATATATTATATTTTTCTATAAATGTACACTGTCATATTTAATGGAATGGGATGTGTTTGGATGTTTGGAAATAATGTCTATTATAGATTTTTACTACTCTCAGAAAATTTTCATGTTTATAAATGACAGGTTTGCAACCATCCAGAATTGTTTGAAAGGAATGAGGGAAGCACGTATCTCTACTTTGGGGAGATTTCAAATTCCCTCCTTCCTCCTCCCTTTGGAGAGTTGGAAGATATATACTATGCAGGAGGTCACAATCCAATAACTTACATGGTACTCATGAAATTGGAATCGAAAATGCCTATTGATTGAGAAACTTGTCTATTTTGTTACTGAGACCTACTTTTCCTTTGCAGATACCTAAACTAGTCCACCAGGAGGTCCTCCAAAGTTCTGAACTACTTTGTACTACCACTGGGCGTGGAGTATGCAGAGAATCTTTTCTGAAACGTTTTAATATATTTTCCCCCTGTAATGTTTATCAATCAATAGTTCCACCTGAGAATAGGTCAGATGATTTGTCAATTAGAAGTGGTTCGTTTGGTTTTACTCATTTAATAGATTTGTCTCCCAAAGAAGTTGGATTTTTGGCAACTTCTTCCTTTATGGAGAAGCTTTTATTTTCTATTTTGAGATGGGGCCACCAATTTTTGGATGGAATGTTGGACTCACTTATCGATGCAATTGATGATAACCTTCAATCCGACAACATTGAGAGGGGAAAAATAAGAGCTGTCACAAGAATGTTGTTGATGCCATCAAGATCTGAAACCAATTCTCTTAGAAGGAAATTGGCCACGGGTCCTGGTGATTCTCCATTTGAGGCTCTGGTTATGTCTGATCAGGATAGGCTTCTATCAAATATCAAGCTTCTTCATTCAACATATACATTCATCCCAAGAGCTAGAGCTCCCCCGGTATGCCCTGTTTGTTTCATATGTTGATAATTTATTATCAGGAACATTTCTAAAAGCAAATATTATAAATTTTTTCTTGTTAGATAAATGCTCAATGCTCGGACAGAAACTTCATGTACAAAATGATTGAAGAGTTACATCATCCATGGATCAAAAGATTACTGATTGGATTTGCACGCACATCTGAACATAATGGGCCCAGAAAGCCGGATATTTCACCTCATCATTTAATTCAAGAGATTGATTCTGAACTACCCGTTTCACAACCTGCTCTTCAGTTAACATACAACATATTTGGGTCTTGTCCGCCCATGCAAAGCTTTGACCCGTCAAAGCTGTTCATTGTAAGAACATGTTTTTTACCTATGGTTATTTTTCATTTATGTGCCAATTTTTCTTAATTTTTTCATCTAAATTTAATGTTTTGTATTCTATATTGGATTTTTGGAAATTTCTAATACTTGATATTTGTTAAAAACTCTTGTTATTTTATATTCATTTTTGTACTCTTATTTGCACAAATGACAAAAATGCTGAATATTCTTGAGGTATTGGAATTTCCGAGACATTACTATACTGGTTGACATTTGAAACGACAATTTTTCAGCCAGTTCTTATTAGATAAATGCTCTAATGCAAAGAAGTTCTTACTGCATGTTATCAGTTTGCTTACTTCCTATGTAAAGTTGGTTCTGATTATTAACCCTATATCATTGCAGGACTACATGAACTATAGAAAGTATAGGTATCTTCGACTTGATGGGTCCTCCACCATAATGGATCGTCGAGACATGGTTAGAGACTTCCAGCTTCGGTAGGGACATGACCCAATTTCAAGGACCTCTTCTTTTTCAGGCATTTGCCATCTTGTCATTGGATTACCATTGAAGTCTAATTTGATAGATTCACTTTTCTTTTTCTTGGTTGCAGGAATGATATTTTTGTCTTCTTGCTTAGTACCAGAGCTGGTGGACTGGGTATTAACTTGACAGCTGCTGATACTGTCATCTTTTATGAAAATGATTGGAACCCAACCCTGGATTTACAGGCAATGGATAGAGCTCATCGGCTGGGTCAGACAAAGGATGTTAGTACTTTTCTCTCTTCCCTCTTGTCTATCCTTCCCTCGTGAAATTTGGACGCTCTGTTCTGGTTGAGTTAGTTATTGATTTTTGTTCTCATTGAGATCCTTGCGTATGTATCATCTTCTCTGTCACTTTTGTAGAGATGAATATGCATAGACGCGTGCGTGTACTCACATGTGTGCTCATCAGTTATCTTGGGATACGAAATCTAGCATTCTCTGCTTATTTTCATTTGGATGCTATTAGACTTAAAGGTGCACTTGTTGTAGGTTACTGTCTACCGACTTATTTGCAAAGAAACTGTTGAAGAGAAAATCCTGCAAAGAGCTAGTCAGAAAAACACCGTCCAGCAGCTTGTTATGACAGGTGGTCATGTTCAAGGTGATCTGTTGGCCCCTGAGGATGTTGTGTCATTACTTCTTGATGATGCACAGTTGGAACAGAAGCTGAAAGAAATTCCCCTACAGGTATTTGGGTCTTGCTTATATTATCTACCATTTAATTGAACTATCCTTAAATTTCTCTCCTGTGCCTCCTCCCTATCCTCATCTCTTTTAACCGTCTGAAAAAAGAGGACTCTCCTTGAAATCTGTTGAAACCTGTAATATCCCTTTTAGCAAGTATACTTTCTTGGACTATGCTTGAGCAACCAACTAAAACTAAAAACACTAAAAATGAAAAGAAAATATATTATGGGAACATTTTATTTAAAGATAAAAGTAAAAGAAACATGACGATGTAAAAATTTTTGAACCGTGGACATATTTGGCACCTTGGTAAGAGCCTTAGTCATTTAGCTTCGATGCAAGCTCAGTGAAGTAACTGAGTGAGAGAGAAAGTAGAGAAGAAGGAATTCAAAGAGGAGAATAGAGAGGAAGCAGAAAGAGGAGAAATTTAGGAGAGAGGAGGGAGAGAGAGATTGGGAATATTTGAATTTGAATGTCCTTTAATTATTTGAATGTGAGAAGCGTTAGTCACTAATTATGTAATGTTCTAACAAAATAAACCCAAAATAATGAAGCCATCTATTTTTTAACCTATATAAATCACTCTTTTGTCTATGGTTGTGAACTTTATCAGAGTGATATTACATTAGCCTAAAAACAAAAGAAACAGAATTGTATCAGTAAGCCCCTGTTAGTATATGAAAGATGTAATAGCAAACCCTTGAAGCTCTACAAAAGCATAAAAGGTGTCCATGAATTATTGTTGAGTGAAAACAAATTGTGCAATTTCTGAAACTATTAGTTTATATCTCATGAACTTGAAGGAGGTTAATCAAAATTTTCCTTGAAAAGTAACAAAGAAAGATCCTGATTTGCTTCCAGTATTATGTAACTTCTTTCTAATTTATTTTAACCATCCAGAATAAAGAGAGACAAAAGAAAAAACAGCCAGCAAGAGGTATACGGTTAGATGCAGAAGGTGATGCCTCTTTGGAAGATTTGACAAACAGTGAAGCTCAGGAAACCAGAAATGATACATCTCCGGATCCAGAAAAAGCAAAATCAAGTAATAAAAAGGTATTGGGACTTCACTTTTACTTCCTATTGGCTGAAATGAGTTTTTGGCATTTTAATAGAAGATATTTTGGCAGTGACCAAAACCCAAGAGGTGTTGGCACCTGGCAGATACTTAGTACCAAAATTGGATATGGAATTTACTTCAGTTTTGACTCCGTAGATTCAATAGTTGAGCAGGTTCATTTACATAGGATCTCAATTAAGAAGAAAATAAGGTATCAGGTGATGAGATAACTCAAAAAAATCAAATTCTTTTTCTTTAAGTAGAATGTATAAATCTAAAATTAAAGTAATTAAGAATTTCTATTATCCTTTCCTTGATAGGTTTTTTGTCTTTTCACATCATATATCCAGATTCTGTATGAAGTATAAAATTCAATGTTTATAGTTAGGTAAAGAAAAAGAGCTTTTTATCAGGCATTACAATATTGATTGATAGGATCTTTTGGTTCGTTCTTCTCTTCCTTTTGTCGAATACTATCTGCTACTCTTACTTGTTAGGTGAACCATCATAGATGTTTTCTAGTGTTCTAGAAATTACAAGCAAACAAAAAATATTTCTTTCTAGAACGAGGGCTAGAAATTCTAAGATTTGGTATTTTATCACCTTTTTTATTGTCTTGTTCTGGTTTGTCATCTTGACAAAGCAGTGCAGCTTGTAGCTAAAGATAAATTTATTTAGTAAGTATTTGGTGCATTCACTAAAAGCACTTCACTAATGGTTGATCAACAAATATGTGGTGAGCAGAGGAAATCTGTTTCAGAAAAGCAAACTGCTGGCAAGTCAAGGAATCCTCAGATGATAAGTGAAACGAACTCCATTGACAACGAGTTGAATGACCTTCAAAATACCGAGATGCCAAAACCAAAAAGGCCTAAAAGGCAGAAGAAGAGTGTAAATGAAAATCTCGAACCAGCATTCACTGCAACACCTACTGTGGCTCCAGAGAATAGCCCACATCCACCTCCACATGAGTTTGGTTATGGCAGTTCCAGATCAGCGGCTGAACAAAACCTTTCAATGTCTGGCAACACATAAGTTAGCAGTAGCATCACAGGCTCTGTCCCATTTGATTAAGCTGCTTCCAAGTCTTTGCTTGATGAGCAGCTGCAGATGTCATTTGATTTGGATGGCAGGTCATTTTAAGTTTTGCCTGCCTCTGTCATGTTTGTTAGTTAGGTCACGGAGCCATATAGCGGGGCGGGGCAGCCAAGCTTAAGTTGTATAGTTATGTAAATGCCTTAATTTTTTTTTTTTTTTTTTTTTTATATATATAAATATTTTGGTTAACTACTCATGAAAACTATTGGTCATGTATGGGCTAAAGTCACCCATCCTCTTATGCAGAATAGAGTACATATGGTATTAGAATCTCCTTTATCTTGTAATTAATCTAACACATGAAGAAAATGTGTTAGGAAGTTTCTCTGGGACTTCTATTATCAACAAAAAACCGAGGGGAACTGTTCAGAACCCCTCCCTCATTGTCTGGAGCAATTGACTTCACTAGTTTCATGATTGCTATTCAAGGGTGAAGTGCTTAGCAAGTAACAGAATTTGCTTAATGAGATTATGCTTGATGTGGGTCTTATTGTATGATTATGCTTGATCTGGGTCTTAATTTACAGATCCTCTTGAGTTGTAAGAAGTGTTAACTGTGTGAGGGTATGATTTCCAACTAAAAAAGATGAGTTTTAATTTATATTATAAAGAGTAAGTAACAATAGAAGTGTAAGAAGAAATAGAATTATGTGTATGAACATGTTGTATGAGTTGAGTATTAAAAAGTATGTTAATCTATAAAAAGAAATATGTAATTTACTCTTCATTATTGAGATTCTGTTGAATTTGTTTTTCTTAATTAAGAAAAAAAGAGAGAATGAGATGGTTGCAACTGTGATCTTAAGGGGATAAAGTTGGAAAATCTGAGGATTATATTTATTAATCGAGAAATATTAATTAAAAATTTTAAATTATTGATAGTATAATAAAGATAAAAAAAAAAATATTTAAACTTTATACCAAAATCATGATTAAAATATTTAAAATGCACTAAAAGTAGTAAAAAATTATCAATTTTTTAAAATTAAAAATTAACTAAACCAGGAACCATGGGATCTGCTCCTGGCTCGGCCTGTATCGCCTTCCTGGTCGAACTTGAGGGCCGACCAGCCCAAGAAGCATATGGTAATATCCTACTGTGCACCGCCCAGTCGGTCACGTCTCGGGTCCCATCCAGGTTTCCACCTGATAATGCGGATACTTCCCAGTCTTCTGCTCCGGAAAACACCCCACCCCTACTTGAGGCTCACTCTCTGTTCATCAATTTTCTCGATCGAGATCTAAATCCGAACTCAGCGAGAACGAAAATGGAGACAAAACCAGTGGAAATTGGCAGCTCAAAGATGTTCGGAGGATACAACAAGAGATTCAAACATTTCAGTCCCACTCTTGGCTGCTCTATGACTTTCCACATCTACTTCCCTCCTTCTCCTTCTTCTTCTCACAAATTTCCTGTAACTCTCTCTCCTTTCTTCTCCTTTTTCTTTTTTCTTTTTTAATTTAATTATATTTCCCATACCTGTTTCGTGTTTCGACTTAGTTTTACACGCCTTAATGCAAAATACTGTGTTCTTTGCTGTTACTTGTTATCATTATATAAGCTTCCCCCCCCCCCACCCCCCCCTCCCACACCCCCCCTTTTTTTATCTTTTTTCAATTAAGGCTTGATTAATTGGTACAAAATCTTGCTTCATTTGATTCGATTGGATGTAAATAAATCCGTGTTTTGATGATGTTACACTTCATTTGTGTGTGATTATAACTTTTATCTGTGGAAAGTTTACGAGTATCCGATCTAATCTGATCTGGGTTTTACAAAACCAAACAGGTTCTGTACTGGCTTTCTGGCCTTACTTGCACAGACGAGAACTTTATTATCAAGTCAGGAGCTCAACGTACCGCTTCTGCTGAAGGGGTTGCTTTAGTTGCTCCAGATACATCTCCAAGCAAGTTATCGTTATCTTCTAGAATGCTTGTTCTAGCTGTTTGTTTCAGTCAATTTATTACCTGCTCCATTACTATATTATAGATGGGTAATAGCTAATTACGGGGTAATTGTAGATTTCTAGATAAAGTAGGGCTGTAGGGATTTAGCTGTAACTTCTTTGTTGTTGAGGAAGTCCATTTTAGTGGAACAATTTGATTCGTTTGATAATTTACCTGAAAACTTAATTTTTCTCAGTAAAGAGCTTGCAAAAGGATGTGTTTGTTGCCTTTCATTTTTACTGGAATTCGTCTAACGGATTCCCTTCAGATAATCTTACTAATAACTTGGACGATGAACTGTTTTAGTTATGTAGGATTAGCAGGTGCATGGTAGTCCAACATTCATTTGATGCCTATGCTACCAACCAATAAATTTGATATTGTTCATTGTCTGGTATTACATTGTGGGAATGAACACTTTGACATCTCATTTATCATTTCTTCATCCAGTAGGTGCTGTGAGCCTGTAACTGTTAAGATATCATGTAAATAGGGTTATCAAGAATTCAAACTCAGAAACAAATTGCAAATACCTTATTTTATGGTTTCGAGGATGCAGAATGCTGATTGTTTAATTTTCTTTCTTTCTTTCTGCTTTAAATCTTGAAATAGGGGGCCTCAATGTGGAAGGAGAGGCAGACAGCTGGGATTTTGGTGTAGGTAAGTAAGATGGTGCTGTAGGATTAAATTTCACGTGAGTGCTATGTTCTACTTCCTAGCAATATTAAATGCTTTGGATTTTGGAATAATTCATCTTATGGTAGCCTATGGGTTGACAACAAAGAACTAGACAATTAAGTAGATGCTGCATATATCTGTCCACTAATGGTATCACGTTGCACCCAAAACTGTCAAAATGCATGCACTTCCTGGTAAGTTGAGCTTTAGGAATGTTTTATCCAAGATAAATTACTCATAAATGAATTAATTGTTAGGAAGAATTGAATAAGTGTTAGATGTTCATTTTAAATATATATCTGATTGAGCAGGAGTTACACGAAGCAGCAAGGCTTCATAGTTGGTCAAAGTCAGTCTGGTGATTCATCTCCGATTAGTATATGAATTTCTTAATGAGATTCTCTTTTCCATCTTTCACAATTAGGTGCTGGATTTTATCTCAATGCTACCCAGGAGAAGTGGAAGAATTGGCGTATGTATGACTATGTTGTCAAGGAGTTGCCAACAGTTCTGAGTGAAAATTTTCCACAGCTTGATACATCAAAGGCATCAATATCCGGTCACTCTATGGGTGGCCATGGTGCTCTTACAATATATCTGAAAAACCTTGATAAATATAAGGTTATTGATTGGAATTTTTGCTTTTTGTGAACTTAAATGTTAGGTCTATTAATTGAATTTTTTTAATCTCTGTAAATAATCTCCCATGGAGACTGAAATTCATTAGAATTTTCAGATCTCTAAGTTGTGTCTGTTGGTCGGACACAATTTTTTTTTTTCTTGAACTAATTCTTTGAACATGGCTGATGGTTTCTCTGAATGTAAAGACTTTGGATCGCTCAAACTTGCAATGACCTTCTTTCCTTTTTGATGCGTAATTCCAGTCAGTTTCTGCCTTTGCACCAATCTGCAATCCTATAAACTGTCCCTGGGGCCAGAAGGCTTTCACTAATTATCTAGGTGACAACAAAGGTGACTGGGAGGTATGACCTCATTATATGTGGTGAACATGCATCTTTGTCATATTCTAGTGGTGTCCTAAACTCAACAAATCTACTCACAAAATGCAGGAATATGATGCTGCTTCTCTGATTTCCAAGTTCAATGATTTAGCTGCGACCATTTTAATTGATCAGGTAACAATGCATCGACTTTCATTTGCCTTTTTCTTTGGTTCAAGTTGTTTTAGTTTAGTAACTTTACAACATAAGTTATGGCTGCTAACTTACCAGTTTAGAACAATAATCAATAGTGTTCATTTATTTTCATTATGATTCCATTGTTCAGAGGACAACTGAATTTGCATTTTTTCTTCAGTTTTCTAGCTCTTTTTTCCCTTTGCTACTCCTTGAAACATACTTTTTTATTAGTAAGATAGCTCAGTGCTCGAGTTAGATAGTAACCTTCTTATGTTCTCGTGCATTTTATGCTTTCCCGTCTACTAATATACTCTTTTGTAATTTCAGGGGGAGAATGACACATTCTTACACAATCAGTTGCTGCCCCAGAAATTTGAGGAAGCATGCAGGAAGGTTAATGTTCCACTTTTAATGCGATTGCAGCCTGGTTATGACCATTCCTACTA